CTCGCTGCGCTAAGTTGCTTCGCCGTGACAAACCCAGTGGATAAACATTGTTTCAAAATGGCTGAAAGGAGCCAGCGATGCGAGCGGTCGGGCCGCGAAGCTTCCCTCCGTCCTAATCTGCTTCTTCCCTTAGATTATTGCCATGAATGAGCAGGCAACAAGAGAGAAGACTTATCACTCCCACCCTTTCATGGCATTTGCTGTGTGTATTTTCCCTGTATATTAAATTTGTCTCCTTTTAAAAGGCGCTGACAATGTTTGCAGCTCGTCTGTCCGCCGATCGCAGCTGCAGCGCGACAATAAACGCACGCAGGCTAAGAAGCAGCACTCGGTAAACTCGGGACTGTGGAGATTGTTGAATTACTCATGAGTTTTGATACTTTGCTTTTGTGTAAACGCTTAATTCCGCTAATCCCCATGGAGAGACAGTGAATGGCGTAAATTCCCTATGATATCTTGTCTGGGCTAAACATTTGCTCACTTACGTATACATTGGGTACAGAAAATTATTCTTTTGACAACATTACAACGGACTTAACCCAGTGCCCCGTTCGTCCTGCAATGACACGTATTAGCTTCATTGCGTTGGGAGGTACATTTCCATTTCAGTTCAAAACTCAGCGCCCGGCCTGCACACACACACACACACACACACACACACACACACACACGTGGATCAAACGGCCTTTTGTTTTGTTGTTGGCAGTTTGTGCTTCAGCTCCAGCGCTTATTCTATTAATATTGCGTTATTGACGTGTTGTTTTGCTGCGGACAGATTCGCTTTCTACGTTTTAATTTGCAGCACAGCCGCTCGAAATTCAAGAAATATGAACTGCCTTGTTCATTATCCCTTTAACTGCGCGTCGGGGCCTTTTCTTCCCCCCCGAGCCCCTCGGGGGTCAAGCTCCGCAAAGCCTATTTCGGCAATCAAACACCGACCCTCCCCGACCCTCTCTTTCCTCCTTTCTCCACACACGCACACCTCTCCTGGACCTCTTTTCTCTCCCCCGTCACCCCCCCCCATCCCCCCTTCCCTCTCCTCCCAATGCCCACCTTTCTTTCTGTCCGACTGGCCCTCTCAGCGGGGCTATAGAGCCCAAACTTGTCTACATTTACCCCCTGCGTCGGCCGACCAACGATGGCCCTCCGTCAGCGCCGCACCCTTCTCCCCGAGTCAGCTCACGCTCTCTGTTTTCTCAACCCCTGACCCCCGGGCCATGGCAACGGGGGCAGGAATGTCAGGAGTGATTGGCAGGATAAAGAGCGCGGCCCCTCTCTCCCGAGCAAGCGGATTTGAGACACTTTGAGGGGCGAACAATGGCGGATTTGGGCTTGATTGGATCACTGATGAGCTGATGACTGTCAAAAGAGCACGTCGTCTTTACATAAGCCTGATTATCTCTGCATGGCGTAGGAGCGCAGAAGAGCAGGAGGGGTAACCGCCGCGGTGGGAGGGAGGGGAGGACTGGCAGGGAGCTCATCCCACCCCCCCCCACCCCCCATGCGGAGTGCCTCCTAAAGGGGGATAGATCTGCACGCGAGGGCCAGGCTACGGGGGCCCGGGCCTCTCCCATCCACTGGGGGCCTTTAACAAATCCATTCAGGCGACCGGGGGCCCTCACACATGTGGCCTTAATCACAGGAGGGTGGCTGAGGGTGGGAGTGCGAGGGAGGGGGGGGGGGATGACACATGGAGGCAATCATTGTTCGATCCCTGACCATCCCATCAGGACGGACAGAGGAGCGGAGAGAAAAAGAGCGAGAGGGAAGGATGTATGCAGAGGGAGCGAGGTGCTGACAGAAAAGAGCAGTGGGACGGGCGAATCAAAGACAAATCCCCTCCATAATCTACCTCTTTAATAGGGATTAGAACTCACCAAAGGGCCTGCAGCAGAATACCAAAGCGCCAATGAACACTCCATTCAGTGAGAGTTTGAGGGGCTGACGGGACTCTAGAAAACTCCCGCGTGTTGTTCGGAGGTGTTTGACTCGCTCGTCTCTTTTTTTTTGCAGGGTGTGCCGATTTATTCTGTTTTTGAAAAAGTTTCCGGGGCCGCGAACGACCAACATGGAGCAAAAAACTTTGAAAACTCCCGACGAAGTTTCCGACGGCACCCGCCAGAACGCGCTAATCATATTTTGGATCTGCTCACTTTTTTCTTCCGCTCCTTTCATAACAAAACATGTTTGGGACACGCTGTGTAACTGATTAAACAGCCGCTTGATGTCGTTTTTCGGCCCCATCATGCTAAGCTCACTGATATCCAACTTTGAAAGAATAGCATATTGTTTGGCTACTTGGAAGAACAGTAGCGTGATCTGGCTGGGATGAAGCGTGGAAAAAAAGCAAAGTGTGTGTGTGTGTGTGTGTGTGTGAGGGAGAGAGCGGCTGGTAATTCTCCTCAGCGGTGCTGATGGCAGTCTGTCAGAGTTGGCAGAGGAAGTGAAAATGGCCTCAAGTGTCTGGCTTCCCTCCATGCTGTCCTCACATCAATGACGGCTCGCACTGCATCATCTCTCTCCCGCTCGCTTCCATTTGCGCTCTTTAGACTCCAGTTTGCTCTCTCCATCTCTTGCTTTCTGACTCTTTCTCTGTCTGTGAAGAGGATGAATCGGGAAAAACACATTTTCTTTTGGAGTGGTTGAGAAGAAGTCCAAACCAGAGTTAAACAGTCGTATTATTTCTCCACACCTGGCGTACGCACGTGTCAGGCGGTTTTAAGCATTTTAAGATATATAAACGCGTATTTTCTTGCTGGTAGTTTCATCAGATGATTGAGTACACAGTAAATCTGAGGCCAGCTGCCCGCGAGCTCTGCATAACACTGGGAACGAGGATAAAACCACACATTCCCTCTCCTGACTCGTCTCAGGGGCTCTCCACTCCAAGCTACGACGCTACGTGACCCTCCAGCGACAGCTTGTGGTTTAGTTATATTCAAAATAAACTTCTGTCCTGACAGGAAGTTAGAGTCACTTATTTATATGCAGGAAATGACTGACGTGAGAAAGATCAGGATCTCAGGGGTCTCCTGGATCAGAGTCCTGTGTTTGTTTGACCCACCCGTCCTGTGTGGGTTTATGTCAGCTGCCGCGAGTAATATGTAATAATGAGTCAGTTTCAAGCGCTTTGTGTCAGATGCCGAGATGCACTGTTGCAAAGTGTAAAAAACCCACTTCTAAAGCTCACAGTACGCTTTATATTATTTTGTTTAGATGAAAAATACAACGTGTGAACAAATGTCGAGGGATATACAATTTTTTTAAAGAAGAACAAATTATAAGGCCAAATGTTGGGCCTATTTTAGCTGTTTTTTTTAGGTTTTTAATTATAAGAGGAGGGTATCTCTAGTTTTCTGATACATTTTATCTCATTTTTCATCTTTTTGACAATGAATTTTTCTAATAGTCCATCATGATATAAAAGCATAACTGTCTTCTTCTAAAAAAAAGTCAATCAACATCAGCAAATTTTGAGAAACATGGTTTCAATATTAGGCTGTTTTCGGTAGGCTGTTATGACTGTTGAGGATTTAAAAACTGACGTGCAGAAAGCTTTTCCTCCGCGAGGACGTTTCGCTCCGAGAGGCGAGTTTCTGCTTTACTTTCTCTGAGAGTGAGGTGGCAGCATTGAGTTAATCTGCAGGTCCATGAACCTGGAGGCTCTGGATCCGTCAAACCAGCTCAAATCCCCGTTTGACTTTGGTCCATTTGCCCAGACAAGTCTGCATTATATTGATACAAATTGTGATAAAGTAACTGGCAAAGTGCCCTTTCATTTCACCAGACAAGTAGCTATCCGACATATCGCCAATATACTTATTTCTTATGGCTTTTGGGTGGTCTTAACCCAACCTGACCTCACTTAAATCTAACCGTTGTGCTAATCTGATCCAAAGAACTGAACATCTAGCAGCGCTAGACTTTCCGCTGAGAGGCCCGTTGACTTTACTGTAAGGTGACTATTCAGTGTTTGACTTTCAAACCGGAGTGTGAAGCGAAAGCGTCGCGGACTTCAAGCCTTATCTGCATATCACGTTCGAAGATAGCCATCTAAATTAGGTGTGTTTACCTGAACCTGGTGCTGTGGCCCCCTCGAGAGGCCCTTGTGGCACGAGGGACCTGCTGCTAATCCAAACATGCATGCAGGACCACAGCTTTGAGAGACATTAACAGCCTTGAGACCCCCCCCCCCCCCCCCCCGGTGGGTCTTTTCCTTCCTTTTCCTCGGGTGTCTTAGGCCCCTAGAACCTTAAGATTTCTTAAAAGTGACACACACCCCCCCCCCCCCCCCCCTCCCTCTCTCCCCCACACTCCCATCCACCTCCCCCTGAGCTGCCGCCCCCATACTGGCTGCTGGCCTTTCCTGCCGTCTGATCCATATTTCAGAGGCGGCAGTGGCGGCACTGAGGGGGTATAATCCAACATTAAAGCGAGAAGGTCTGGGCTGAAGGCACAGGCGCGGGTTCATAAGGTCCTGGAAATCTTCAATTTCAATTTCCGCAGCGTTTGCAGTGGCTTCCAAGGCGCTGGCGTAAGTCTCAGAGTTTTGGCCGGAGTGCAGATTTCAATAAGGGCGAGGCGTTTATTTCTGCAAGGGGCAAACCGTGCACGGTTTAGTTGGCAAGCGGAGGGCGAAAGACAAACCAGACACGCCGACGAAGGGGTCAATTAAAAGGTGGGGACACTGTGATCATCATTAAACAAGTGGAAATCAATCTTAGTTTTATATATTATTGCATATTTATAAATGCATGATTTCCTCTTGAAGCATCTTCTGTGACTTCACACAACTTCTAAGAGGAAGGAAACTAAGAACAGAATTTAAACGACGTAATCAATTCTAATGTGAACACTTATATGTGTCAGAACATTTTAAAAAGTAATAGAAACATTTACTGAAAATAAAGAGTTAGGAGGTTTAGGTCCCCCTTTATACACCTCTGACATTATAGACCCAACATGAACCATTTCCAATTAAGGGAAGAAAACTCCAAAAATAAATGACTATAATGACATTTATTTAGTTCCCAAAAAAATATATTCTTTAAAGACAAATTCATATCCTGTATTTACAATTTTTAAAGGTTTCCATTCACAACCGAAGAAGAAACATATAGGACATAAAAGAGAGATACAAGCAAATCTGTGACAAAAACAACCACCTCTTTTGCATGTAGAAGCTAAACGGTAATACTATGACAGGTAGCACTGCCAAAAGAAATAGCCTTCATTAAACTGTTCTCCCTTAAATAAAATGATTCCTTTCTCTTTCTCTGAGTCTTCTCATAATGTCGTTGTCACAACTCGCTGTGGTGCCGTCCCGTGGTGAGGTCTGCAGAGCGGAAAGACAACCAAAAGAAAACAGAGGTCAGAGGTGAAATAAATGTGGGACAAGCTGCAAATAGCAGGGGGAAATGTGTACGTTTACCGTGGTATAAATACTTCAAATAACACATCGGTTTCCGTGAGTTCCATTTTTCAAAGGCTATTTTAAAACAATGTTTAACTCTATTTATGCAAATGAAAGAAGACACTGAATTGCTTTTATGTCTTTTCACCCTCCACTACGTCCCTGATGTTGCTATCAGCGGTTTCTTTGACATACATTAGCCGCATTCAGTAAGGGGGCGTAAATAAATGGTGGCAGATTATTTAAATGGAATAGGTGGCAATCATTTAAGGGGGGGGTATATTGGTATATTACTGCTGCCCGACGAGGCGTTAAAGTGGGGACTCAAATCACATGATTTATGTGCTGAGGTCTGCCTTCCGCTCCAGTCAGTTGGAACAGTGTTTGCTTCTGCTTTAAGGTTCATTTAGCAGAGGACACGTGGAGAGAAATGGAGGCTAATAATGTCGCGATGGCAAATTGATTTCAAATGCACGAGGTTACCTGTCAGATATCCGCTGGAACGGGGACTTCAGGGAGTCAGGCCTGTGGTCGCTCTCCTCGTCTGTAAAATAAATAGCAATTTATTGGAAAAAGCATCTTGAAAATTCCCTTTTGTAAATTGTCAAATTTGGATGATACGTGTTGGGGATCAAATGTTGTTGCTCATTCAGTAAAACACAAATGACACACAGTTGTCCGTACCATCTCTTTTTGGGCTGAAGCTTCCCGACGACTCCACATCGCTGTCATCCTCCGTCCCCGAAGTTCCGGGCCCCGCCGCGGCCGGCCGCGCGTCATGACGCGCCACCGGCACCGCTCCGTGGAGAGGCAGGTGTCCGGCCGGCGCTCCTCCGAGGAGCGACCGCATGTTCAAAATAGAATTGGCGTTCAGAAAAGCCGCGTTGGCCCAGTTGTGCAGTTTGCCGATCTGGCACGTGTAAATCCCATGGCCCGAGAGCAGGGCCGGGTGGCCGGCGGAGGCCAAAGCCGGGTGGTGCGCATGGGCCGCGGGGGGAGGTCTGTGAGAGCTGTCCGGGGCCGTGGCGGTCTCGGCCAGGGACCAGATTTTGGGTTTGCTCTGCGGCGGTCTCTGGCAGTCCTGTCTGCCCGGGGAACGATCCACCGCGAGTTTGACGACGGGCGATCTGTCGAGAGGAACCGCCGCCTCCGTTCCTCGCGAGCCCTCCACGGAAAGCGTCCTGCTGCTCTCGGAGCTCTTGGGCTCCGAGGCCTGCTCTCTGTCCGCCAGGCCGGCCTCCCCCTCTCCCTCTCCCTCGCCCCCGCACTCTCCCTCAGCCTCCCCCTTCCCGGAGCCCTGCTCCCCCGCCCGCTGCTCCTCGGGTCTTTCGATGTCGACGGTTTCCAGATCGATCTCCTCCTCTTCGTCGTCGTCGTCGCTGCCGTTCTTGCCGTGCTCGTCCTCGTTGTCGCTGCTGAAGATGCGGCCGTCCCGGTCCTCGGCGCTGCGGCCCCAGGTTACCTTGTTCTCCTTCTTCAGGCGCCTGCGCGCGTTTGCGAACCACGTCGAGACCTGGCGGAGGGAAACGTTTCACGCATTAGGGAGCGAATCGAACCACGCGGTGACCCTGAAAACGCGGTTGCTGCGGATTAGAACCATGAATTGATGAAATATTTAAAAAAAAACCTCATTATTATTCCCCATTATTATTCCTCGTCTTCATTAAAGGAGCTTAGGAATCAGAAATATCTGGAGACTTGTCTCTCTCGGCGAGGACGTGTGGCTTTATTCAAGTGGGCCATCAGTCAGTCACACAGCTGCATTATTTAATAATGTAAGAATTAGATGATCTATTGCCTTTGAAGGAGGAGATAAGTACTAATCAGAGAAGCACATGTGCTTTCCTAGTCCTCAGCTGAAGCGCAACCCACCTGTGTGAGTGTCATCCTGGTGATGATGGCGAGCATGATCTTCTCTCCCTTTGTGGGGTAAGGGTTCTTCTGGTGCTCCTGCAGCCAGGCCTTCAGGGTGCTGGTGGTCTCCCGGGTGGCGGTCTTGGCCCTCGACGGGTCCCCGTACGGGTACTGGCCGTATGGGTAGAAGCCTTGGGCGGCGTGGACCGGCAGAGAGGCCGGGTGGGACCCCGGGCTGTCCTTCAGCTCGTACTGGGAGCCCTGAAATGTTATTGGAGGGGAGACAACTTGTTGAGCTGCTTGACTTTTCTTCATAAATAAATAATAATAAAATAATTTATTCACCAGGTTTAGAGAGCCAAACCAACTACGTCTGAATTATTTTTTGTGCGGGGGAAAAAGTTTTGAAAAGTTCCAATCATGTCAGTTTTAAACCAAATAATATCAGACATTACATCACGAATTAAGAAAATAGCCCATAACAATTATGTTTGCCAATTATTATTCTTTCTGAAGTGGTAGTATTTTATAAATGAGATATACACACATTTAAAAATATATTTTTCATAAACAAATCAGGAATTTAATTATTTGCAAACGTTCTCTGAACATCAGAATTAATTGTTTTCTATATAAGAAACGTCCACATTTACAGTAGATTACAATTTCCATTCATTATTTTTTATTTTAATTCACATATCAATAATTTACACCCCAAATAAATCTGGACCAACTAAACTAATTAACCTAAAAGATGAGTTATTTTGAGTGTGGTGAACTCAATAATCGGAAGCTATAAATATATTACAAATTTAAAACACAACAATAACGAAACGCCAACTGACACCCGGCGGTTTGGACTTAATGGAATTATCATTTATTAACGATCGTTAAACCACAAATATCCCCGAAAAAGGGGGATGATCCGTATTTGCATATCTTAATGACTTCGCACTATTGGATAACAGCGAATCAGTTTGCAATTAACGAGAGCTCAGGCGGACAAACAAACAAACAAACAAACAAACAAACAGAGAAGCGACGATAACCCAACCAGGGCTGAAGCGCGTATCCACTCTCACCATCTGCGATATGAGGGCGAGGTCTGCGGCTCCGCTGTACGGCAGGAAGGCGCTGTAGTTGTGGGCCGCCCACGGGCTCCCGTACATCCCCAGCATGGAGCCGACCGCAGCGGCGGTGGCGGACGAGCTCAAGCCGCCCTCGGTGCCTCCTTCCCGGGCGGAGGCCGGCCGCTCGCCCGCGTACATCTCATGGGACGCGCTGAGGAACTGGGGGTACCCCAGCTGAGGGAAAGACATGTCCGGGGGGGCGGGGGACAAAAACCGCGTATACTGTAAATCTCTCTCTCAAAGCCAAATAAGAGGCAGCAACAAACCAACAAAAAAAAAAAAGAAGGAAAAAAAAAAAAGAGAAAGTAGCAATTCCCAGAAAGAAGTAGAGGATGAAGGGGGTGTCTAAATCACCAGAGTCCCCCTTTAAGTAACTGTCAAGCTTTCCCACTTCCACCGACCCGCAGTTGTGTCAGAGCCGCAGTTTGGCACCTCGAGTGCGGAGTGATGCGCGTATCTGGCCGCGGGAGCTTCTGGATGTGGAGCTGACTGACTGATTGGCAGCCTACTTAAACACCAAGCTCCTCCTATGCCCGGGGCAGGCGATTAGTGCATTGGTTAGCCCAGGTCGTGTGTGTGTGTGTGTGTGTGTGTGTGTGTGTGTGTGTGTGAGATCCAATTTCTGCAGCCTTAACTGTGTCTATACGCAACAGAAAACCTGTGAAGTGTGTGCATGCGTGTGCATGTGTGTGCATGTGTGTGCATGCGTGCGCTGTGTATACTTGCTGTTTTTTTTTGCAGCCAGCACGACTTTATTTAACAAACGCACTGTTTGGACACGCGGGTCCTAATTGCTGTGCGCATACTTTTATACCTTTAGTAACTCTCTGGTAATAACCGCAATGATACTAATAATATTAATTAATGGTTGTTTAAAAAACATTTTTGCCATCTAACTATTTCGTGCAGTTCTAACAACTAGAACATTTGAGGCGTCATTCTTCCTCTACGCGTTGACAGCGGATGCGCAGGGCATGCCGGGACATTCTGTCCAGCAGATGGGCCGGGAGGCATCGATATGGTCGGCCAGATCGGAGAGGAATGTCCGTGATTATCGACGGAAGTCGCTGGAGCATATTTGCAGAGTGAAGATAAAGGAGTCTGGAGGTAATGGCAGAGATGGACGAGGATAGGAGATCGCAGCGATAAGAAGCACACGGGAGCTGTGGAGTGGAAAATGACAGATGTTCGTGGGGAAGAATGGACTACTGTACTCTGCTGGCCCTGTAGGTACCAAGTCATGGAGCAAATGTAAAAAAAGAAAGTGGGGATTTATTTTAATTTGACATTTAAAATGCAAGAAAATCGATTATTGAAATGTGGAAAGTGTATCAATTCGAGGCATGCAGATTGATGGTTCCTCATTGACAGGCTTAACTATCAAAACAACTCTGTTTCAATCCGCTCCTTTGAACACGCACACATGCACACATGCACACACGCACACACACACATGCACACACGCACACATCGGGCAGTGCTAATGAGGTTGAGCACCCTGCGCCCTGCTCGGTGGCCCTGTGGCCCTCCTGGGCCCCCTCAGAGGTTAGCTGTGTAATTACTCCATCCCCATAAATACAGATTCATCATTTCACACTGGAGCCCCTGATGAGCTGAGAGAGGGGGGGGGGGGAGATGGGGTGGGGGTGGAGGAGGAAGAGGAGGAGGATCTAATGATTTAATTACAGTGCTTAAAGCCCACTCTGGCTAAGTGATGGTCCTCTCTGTCTCTTTCTCCTCCTCAGCGCTGGCACCTAGAGGGCTTTACTCATGAATCTCAAAGCTGTTTTCCTAAACACATATTATGACGAGCGCCGCCACCGCCGCGATGGTGTGTGTGTGTGTGTGTGTGTGTGAGAAACAGCGAGAGAGAGAGAGAGAGAGAGAGAGGATGCTTAATCTCCATGGCATTTTAAATGGCATTCATGGAGAGCGACTCCATCCTCATTGCCAAGGTAAATGGAGCCAGGGGACTCTCCATTTCAGCTCGATAAAAGAGCAATGTTAAAGACCCTCACCATTTCCCTCTCTCTCTCTCCCTCCCTCCCTCCCTCTCTCCCTCGCACCCCCCCTCTGCCTCATTTCTCACTTAAAATTAATGTTTTTCTCATGACAGGGAAGGGAAACGAGACATATCCACCATCTAATAGGATAATATAGCCCCATTCACCGCCCCCACCACCCCTCCCTCTCTCTCTCTCTCTCCCTCCCTCTCTCTCTCTCCCCCCTCTCTCTCTTTCTCTCTCCTTCTCTCTTTGTCTTTGTAGCTGCCTGATTTACATAGTGTCTCTGTGGAGAGACAGTTAATGAATTCCTCTGAGCTGGAGAAAGGGGGAGAATGGTTTGGGGGTTTAGAGAGAGAAAGAGGCTGGGATAGGGGGAGGAAGGCTTTGAGCTATGCCATTCAACTTCACAGCATCGGCCTGCTTGTGCATTCACTGTGGGTGTGTGTGTGTGTGTGTGTGTGTGTGTCTTTTAACATGAACGTGCTAAGACTACCAAATATTTAGACTGGCCTCGGACATTTTTTTTATGGCGACGGGGGATTGAGGGATCTCAGGAGGCAGCCTGCCTCTGTTTGAATCGCATTCCCAGCTATTATTTCGGCCCAGCCAAACGAATACTTACCGCAGGAAACATTCAAATAAAGTCCCACAATCCACTTGGACTGGCCATTTCCTCTTGGGTCGTTTGCAGTAAAGTGAATGAAGTAACCCGGAATCATCACGGGGCCGATTGTGATTATTTGTTTGCTTCAACGAAGGAGGGATGAAGCAGTTCAGTTCAGTCATTCTTTGTGTAAGAACCTAAAAATCATTTTCTGACTGTTAAACTTCATTCCTCCATTATCCCTCCTTTAACATTGCTGTCACTCCTCTAGCAGTGTTGGCCAATATTATTTACATAGATGTTATTAATGAGTAATGCCATTATAGTCAGTAATCACGGTAGTGATCGGGGTCACGTTGAGAGTTTGTTGGGTCGGCTTGTTTCCCGGATGTTAACCGAATTGTGTCTGCGTGTTCACAGAGGAGATGAAGGGTTGAAGCCCCGTAAACCAAAGAGGAGAAACACACCTCCCGATAACTTCAGAGATGCCTTTGGTGTCCAAACCCCTCTGTCTATTCTAGGACACAACGTTTAATCCCTGACATTCACGCTGCAATGTGGCGAAAATGCAAATTTTCATGGCTCATAAGAAACTCATGGTCCCCAATATTACGGTAATGGGTGTTGCTATGAAATCAATTAAACTTGCCCCCAACTCTATTTACAATATTTTAGCTTTAACATTACGAAATCCCCTGTGCCTCATTAAAACAAAGCTGCTAATACATGCAGGACCCTCAGTGGTTTTTATTATAAATAAATAACTGCTGGATCCCAAGATGTTGCATACTCGAACAAATTAGCATTTAGCTTGTGTGCTAGCGGCAGATATGTCTTCTACAAGAGCAAATTGGACTACAGGGCGGATGTGCGACACTGTACTGAGTCCTCATTCTACTTCCATGATGCTTTCTGAAAGCAACGGGAGCTGAAAATAATGGTATTATGTTGGCAGGGTGAATAGACAAGATATATTTATGACGTGTGTCTCTTTAGCTTTCTTGCTAGCATTAGCCACGCATAAGTCTGTTTTACTACAGAGTTGAAGGACAGTCAAACATTACGCTAATTGTCAGTAAATATCCGTCTACGTGTGTCGGATTTTAGTGTGCAAACCTTTTCTGGTAAGTAATTAATCATCAATTACTTTTATTACTTTTTGAACGGGCGCCGTGTTGTCGATTGCATATTTAAAGTAACGGCTCTCGGGTCGCGGGAAACTCTCTGAGCTCGATGCGAAATCTCCCGACAGCACGGTGAAAATGACTTATGTTTTCACCCAAGCAAAATGTTGATTTCCTGAAAAAACGGAGCAGATTAAGTCGGGCCTACATTCCACCAAAGTCCTGAAGAATCACACTCGATAAGAGCTGACAGGCTTTGCTGAGCAGCGCAGCGCTTTGCGCCGAGGCGTCACTTTCCTTCCGCTGTTGTTTCATTTCGCTAAATAAATGATCTTCTGCAGGCTTTGTGCTCGGTTTTTACGGGAAATCAGAGATCGCGGAGAGAGCAGCAGCAGGGAAGGAAGGGCGAGCGGCAGAGATAAAAAAAAAACCCCACTATCATCACCTACTTGACAGCAGAGATAAGCGGTGATAGATTCAGCTCTGACCCGATGTTAAAACAGATGCATCGCTCTGACGCTTAACAGATAAGCCCGCCGGCCTGAGGTAACACATCCAGCCGCCCGACGTCTTTATGGAGCCCTCACGCCGGCTTTATCGCTCCCAAACACTTTTCCAAATCACCGCGATATTCGACACGGGAGACGTCATTGGTGGCCTTAATATGGCTCATATCGGCAATCATGTCGCTGGCGCTGCTACAACGCATGGAGATGGATCCTGTAGGTCGACCCAGAGGGGAAACACCGGACAAAGAGCCCGTCATTAGCAATTAACGGGCGTGCCAGTGTTTGTTTGTTAATGGCTGCTTTAGAAGTCCAGCGGGACTCATTTACAGTGGATGGGGCTGATTAAAAAATAACCTGACCTCACGCTGACTCGCCGAAAATGGTCGCCACGCCGGCCACGTTGACTTTCTTTTTTTTTTTTTTTTTGGGACTTATGCCGACCGCGGCCCGAAAGCTGCCGTCACGATACAGCTCCGTCATTCCCCGAAAAGAGAGCGATGCAAACAAGCGATGTTAAACAAGATTGCTGACTCAAAAAGAGAAAAAAAGGTGAATTCCCACCTCCTCCTCTTTACAGAAAGACTTAGCGGGGGGGCTTTTCTCATGGCCAGGGACCTGATTGTTTTCTAAACGGATTATTAACTCTTTTGTTACAGTAGGGGTCACTTTAATGCTTCTTAGTGCCCATTAGCATTGCTTTAAAGAGCACACACACACACACACGCACACACGCACACACAGGTTGCTGCGTTTCTGGGACTTGGCGTTTCTTGTCTTTGTTGTTCACAGTGGGAGCGGAATGATACCGTTATAATGCTGTCAAAGACAATACTTTAACTTAAAAGGAGGAGTGTGAGAGAAGGGGTGTGTGTGTGTGTGTGTGATTGGCTGTGTGTAGTTGTGCGTGTGTGTGGGTTGTGATGAAAAGGTGCCCTTAGGAAGACCAGTAAGCTTAATGCAATAGTGCTGACTTCAATGGATACCTCAAAGAGAAGTGGCATTACACAGTCCTTTCCACTCAAAAGCCCCTGCAAGTGCTTGACTGAGAGAAGGATCAGCTCAGGCTTCGCTTTGGGGCTGACGGAGATCATCGCGCTGCCCCACTTTGGATCCGATCCAAACCTGCCCACTATGATATCGTGAGCTTCGGTTTTTATATGCAATATTTGCTCCCTGCTCATTCATTCAAGCTAAAGTTGCAGCTTCAGACACCCCTGGGAAAAGGAGAGACAGGTCAAAGCATCACAGGGCCTCTGGAGTGTTTGCTGTTTGGCTCATATTGACCATATAAATGTTTGGTGGTGGGGGGGG